TGCTTGCTCCTTAGGGCATAACATGTGCAAAACTGCAGAGAACATCCCACAGGCTGTACCTGGAACGCACGGTTGTGGTCAGGCTTCTGACAATAGGCATACCTGTTTGTCTGAGCCCCGGTTGGCCATAGCTGTTGCTAGGCTGATTCCATTTTAAGCAAAAATAGAAAGTTGATATGAACTGGTTATACTAGACTGCCTTCTTTAAAAAAAAAAAAAAAAAAAAAGATTCTCTCTCCTGATTCATCTTGGTTTTGCTGTTTCAAAACTGCATAGTTGTGGTATGAATATGCAACTTTGCGTTAAATTTCATAAAAATGCTATGAAGGTGCAGTGTTGGTTTATCGGTCGTTCTCAGATACTGTCTGAGAATAAAGGAGAGAATCAAAGAACTGCATGTTGATGAAATAGTTTTCTGCTGTGGAATTAGTGGTCTCTGCAAATTGATGATTTTGGTCTTTGTCTAATTTTTCAAATCTTTATAGGGTTTTAATTAAGTGATATTTTGTAGACTTGAGATGGATTGGGCTGTGGAACAATAAAGAACCTCTCCATAATACTGTCCAGAGGCCGCTTGTGGTGAGCTAAGGGGCCTTGCAAAGCCCTCTTGCTCAGCCTCCTCTCTAGGATTGCAGATAAGTCGAGACAAGCACTAGCATGGGAATAAGGATACACCACCTCTGCCAGCCTCCTGTGAGACGACTTCTATTTTGGCCTATTCCATGCTCCCTCGATTCGTGGAGAATATATTTGAGAAAGGTCTGGGGAAAAGAGAGAAAAAAAAAAGATGCCTTAGCCGACCCTGAGAAAGAGGACGGCGCATAGCAGTTGCTGGAAGTTTGGTGCTGCACACGGCGCAATCTGTCATCCCCATTTGTTGATCTCGCATGCCATCCTTCAGTTGGCACCACTGCTGCCAGGAACCACCCCCTCCTTTTTCCATCTGAAGGCAGGGAAAGAGGCATTGTGGCAGTGTTAACTCTTCCTGCCCTAAAGCTTAGAGTTTCTTCTTCCCATGTCAGGCTTAATAATCTATGCCATGTTAGGACCCACAGAGATAACAGAATCAAAGAATTTTAGACCTGGACAGGGCCAGAGGGAATTTTTCAAAGAAGAAAAGCAACACAGAGTCCTCCCCAATTCGACCACAGGCGACAGTGGGTAGAGGTCGTCTGAATTTTGAAGTATGATACTAAGGAAAGCTGCTTCTACCCACAGCCAGGGATCTGGCTAAACACTCCTGGCAAGTCAATGATGACAGGTGGGGGTGGTACAGGGCCAGAGAAGCCCACTGAGTTAGACTAATGAGAAAACAGACATAGGGAGGTGCTGAGGAAGCAGCAAGGCCAAGCGTGAGGGAGAAGGGAGAAAAGATGGTCTAGCATCCTTCAGAAGATGACAGTGACGTTTTAGGAGGTAAATTGACTACTCCTGGTAATAATTTAGCTAACAGAATACAAGTACTTATTAAATTCTTTAAGAAGTCATTTAAAAGCACTGATCATGTCTTTCCTGTCTTGCTTAATGTACTTTTGTGGGAATGGGAGAAAAGCACAATCCAGGGAACATCGTGAAGTCCAAAAATGTTTAACATGACTGCTGTCAAGGGCATGAGGGAGATTGCTACCCCGATTGTATAAAAGATTGGGAACAACAGATTTCTTTGTTCAGAAGAAAGAACTGGAAGTTATCACTTTTAGTGAATTAGTTAATTTGTATATGTAAGTGCTTGGAATGCTGCCTGGCACACGGTAAGCCCCTTGTGTTGGTTGCTGCTGCTACTATTCGTAGTAATTGTTACAATTTTCAGAGGTAGAACTGGTGTAGAGTGTCTTTAATCAGAAATCATGTATCAAAGTTTATGCTAAAAGCTCATATTCCTCAACTTAGACAATAAAAAATGGAGCTTTCCTTGGAGAAGCCTAATTCTCAGAAATACCCTCTGTCATGGTTGGAGAATGTTCTACTTTTCTGTTGGGTGTGGCCAGGGTGGAGGAGCGCTTCCTTCCAGAGCCCAGGGAGGAGGCTTTACCATCAGGAATTACGTGACATAACCATTGGTTTAATGTGAAGTGAGATTCAAGTATTCTAATGAAATTCTGTGTGCTTGTTTTAGATTTAAGACCCACAGGCTTCAGCCTCTTTAGGGAACTGTCCGGGGATCAGAGACAGACAAGGTGACCCCAGGGCTCAGGAAGCGGATTGCCTCAGATACTCTTTCTCAAGACTGGATCCTTTTCCCTGCCAACCCATCCCATCCTCCCCTCCATGGATCCACATGTCACGCATTTTTTCAAGGTTGAACTCAAATTCATTTGTGTAACTTTGCTGACCCCCGACTGTTCACCGAGCTTTATCTTATCTAAACTCTCCTAAGACTGTCACTGAACCAAAGTGGGTTCGCTTCCTGGTGAGTTAAAATCAGAGCCTCTACCAGAAACAGTTGTCACACAACTACTTTATTTGCAGCAAACAGGAGACCACGTGGAATCATTTCCAAAGTCGTGGCTCCCCAAACAAAGGGAAGCAGGTGTCTTTTATTTTGGTGGGGGATGAATATTTAAAAGGGAAGTTTTGTCATCACAGGAGAGGCAGGTCTTAGTTTGCACCAGGTCAGTCCGAAAACATGCTCTCACATACATCACATGTTATGCTAATAAGGCCTAGGCTCCACCTAAGGTGGAGATTTTTTAGTATTAAGATGAAGTAAAGGGCATCTTTTGTCATCTCCGGGCCATCTGTGAAAGTGCTGCCCTTGCAGTGAGGCTCAATCTGGTTCAGGCTGGCTGACGCTGGTGTCTCTTCCTAACACAGCTCTGAAAAACAACCTTGAGGAAGCGTTAAGCATCTTTAAACTTCCTTCGAGCTGCTTAGGGTATATGCCGGTGAGAAGACCACTGGTTCTGTCCTTCGAGTTTAATGCTACTAACTAACACTTTATTGATAGTACATGAAAAGCGTTCAGATCAATGCCTGAATCATTACTCACTACAATTTGTGCTTTATCTTTTATCTCATTTAATCTCACAATACAATATTTCCCCATTTTACAGATGAGTTAGTGGAGGCACAGAGAGGCTAAGTAAAGTGACATGTCTGAAACCAGACCACCTGGCTCTCGAGCAAGAATTGTAACCCCTTCGGTGTCTAGCCTCTTGCTCAGTCCTTGCTATTAGCCCACATGTAAGCCTTGTCTTCTCAAATAGATCAGAAGCTCTTCTGAGCACCTCGTCTCATACTTGTTTGTGTGTGTGCATTCCCCCAGGCCCCCAGCACTCAAAAGTTATCTAAGGACTAGCATTCCCCTTGCTGGGGTGGCCCCAGGAGCGGGTTCTCCTGATCATCGGTTGCTGCGATTGGCTGCGCAGTGGGCTGAGGTTTTTCCAGTGTGCACTCCCTCCCGGGCCAGGTCCAGTTCTTGCCATGTGTTAGACTCCGTCCTTTCTTAATGTTGGCAAAAGATTCCCAGCTGCACAGGCAGCAGCAGCCTGGCTTCTTCGCGGCCAGGGCCAGGGCAAACATTATTTTTTTTTTCAAGAACAAGCAGGAACAAATTGGTGTTGGCAGAGCAGCCCTGGGCAAATCCAAAAGTCTCGTCCTTCGTCCTTGATCTTCCGCTGTTTCTTTGCCACACACAGTAGCCTGTGCTGCCCGCCCCCTCCGCAGGTCCCACTTGGACCTGGTTCCCTGATAAAACCAAGCCCAGCCCTCTGCCCTTTGTCCCTGTTCCTTAAGGCTGCAGAGAACTACAGATCTGATAAGGGTAAGGTTTATCAGAATCCCTCCTGGTGACATATTTGCATTTTAAAAGGAGGTAATTCCTTAACTGCTCTGCAAGAAGGCCAGGTAAAGGAGGAGATAATTAAACTACACACCATGTGGGAGGCAGGGCAAGGATATAGAAAGGACTCCAGGTCTGGGTAATCCTGGGTTCAAATCCTGACTCCACCCGTCGCTAGTTGTGTGATTGGCAACTTCTCCAAGTCCATTTCTTGTCTGTAAACTAGCTCAGCACCTGACACCCTAAGTATCAGCACCCAGGTCAAGTATTCCTTTAAAGTCTCCTCCCCCTAGAGACCTCCTTCACCCCCTGTGTTTAAGGCCTGCCGTACTCAGAAGTCTGTTGCCATCAAATCAAGACCATAATTGTTTCTGTGTCTTGTTGTAAAATGTTCTCAGGTTGGGGTTTTTAGAAACATTTATTTATTGTGAAATATAGCCTATATACAGAAAAGTGCATAAAACACATATTTACCGTTTGGCCGATAGTTATAAAGGTGTCACCCAGGTCACCACTACCCTGGTCAAGAGAGACAAGTACTGCTGTAAAGCTGGTATGTGTATATAACACAGTGGTTCTCCACCAGGGGCAATTTTGGACATTTGGGGACATTGGAACATTTTTGGTTATGGCATCTGGGGAGGTGCTATTGGCACCTAGCAGTTGAGGCCAAGGATGCTGCTAAACACAGGACAGCCCCCCACAGCAAAGAATCATCCAGCGCCAATGTCAGAAGAGCCCAGGCTGAGAAATCCTGCTGTAACACAACCTGATCAGCCGTGAACGCCTGATTTCTGGAAACACAGTACTTCAGCAGGAGGTGAACTTTCAGGAAAAGATTTGGATGCTCAAGAAACTGTTAGTATCAAAACTTAGATTTACATAATACATTATTATTGGTAATGCTATCCCACTCCACTAATTGTTCTCTGGAGGGGAAAAAAAAGGGCCAGCCAGAATTTCGGATGAAGGATCTGAAGCTAATAGACCTTGCTAATAGCATCAGTCAGTCGGTATTCTTTCATCGCTGCCAAATGCTTTTAATCTCCTCTGCAATTTGCACCAATCTTGGGAATCAAATACTGTACAAGTTAGTGGAAGCCAGACGTGTTCCGTTTTACTATTAATTAAATTGTGAATTAATTAATGACTGTAATCTTTCCAACAACTTGTCCCGGCCCTTATGCACTTGTAACCCTTTGTCTTTAATTTATTGCAGGATTTAGTCGTTCGTATTGTTTTTATTCTTGGCAACCTGACAGCAAAAAATAACCAGGCTCGTGAACAGTTTTCCAAAGAGAAAGGGAGCATCCCCACTCTGCTGTCATTGTTCCGGACATTCTACCAGCTGGATCTGCAGTCTGAGAAGCGGGTGGGTGAAGGAGACCAGCAGCCCCAAGTGCAGAGGCCGCCGGCCCAGGTGGAGGACGTGCTCATCAAGCTGACCCGCCTGCTCGCCAATTTAGCCATCCACCCGGGCATCGGCCCGGCCCTCGCCGCCAACAGGCATGTGGTGGGCCTGCTCCTTGCCACACTGGGTAAGACCCACGGCCTGGCTGCAGCATACACGGGCAGGCAGGAGCTGCTCTGTGCAGCCCAGAGATGGTTCTGTGGCTTGGATGTGGTGAGGGTTTTATGAGCACAATTGGCCCACATTAATGAGCCTTCTCTGCTGTGTGAAGGAAAATTCCTCTTGTGTGCAGGACTGCCTCAAAAGTAATCCAGATTTAAAAAAGAAAGAAAGAAGAAAAAATAGTAATACAGATAATTACTGAAACCCGCTGAATTGTACACTTTAAAAGGAGAATTTTGTGGTATGTGATTTATATTGCAATTAAAAAAAAAAGTATACCAATCAAATTACCAAAAATTGGCCAAACTAACCACAAAGAGTTTAAAATCCCAAATTTTTCGTGGGTTAGTCCATGTGATTAAAGTTTATCTTTTTTTTTTTGCAGGTTTTTACATTGTAATTATGGCCCCCAGTCATTCAGGTCCCATCTTTTCCCCTGTATTAGCTCAGGCTGCCATAACAAAATACCACAGGCTAGGTGGCTTAAACAACAGAAATTTATTTCTCACAGTGCTGGAGGCTGGGAAGTCCAAGATCAAGGTGCTGGCTGATTCGGGTTCCTGGTGAGAGCTCTCTTCCTGACTTGCAGATGGCTGCATTCTCCCTAAGTGTTCACATGGCCTTTCCTTGATGTGTGCACATGGGGAGAGAGAGAATGACCTCTCTCGCTTCCTCTTCTTTAAGGCCACCAGTCCTATTGGATAAGGACTCCACCCTATGACCTCATTTAACTTTAATTACCTCCTAAACTCCCTGTATCCAAATACACTCACATTGGAGGTTAGGGCTTCAACATATGAATTTGGGGGAGGGGATAATTCAATCAATAGTATTCTGCCCCTGGCCCCCAAAATTCCTACCCTTCTCACATGCAAAATACATTCATTCCATCTCAACAGCCCCAAAAGTCTTAACTCATTCCAGCATCAACTCTAAAGTCTAAGGTCCAAAATCTCATTTAAATATCATCTAAATCAGATATTGTGAGATTTGAGATATGTTGTGAAGAAAAATTCCTCCTCTGCTATGAACCTGTGAAACTAGACAAATTATGTGTTTCCAAAGTATAATGATGAGACTAGCATAGGATAGACATTTTCCTTCCAAGAGAGAGAAATAGGAAAGAAGGAAAGGGTGACAGGCCCCAAGCAAGTCCCAAACCTAGCAAGGCGACTTCCGTAAGAGCTTAAGGTTTGAGAACAATCCTCTTTGGTTCTATGCTTTGCCTTCTGGACTCGCTGGGGCAGTGGTCCTGCCTCCACAGCTCTGTCAGTCAGGGCACCAGGGCTCTGCAGGGCAGTCTCACCTTCAAGGCTTTGGGGTGAAAGCCATCTGCCCTGTTGAAACTGAGGCAGTGGCCCTGGTGATCTCTGAATCACCTTTGGGGTCATTCTCTCCTCCTCTTGAAGAAGAGTGTACATCTGCAGCCAAATTGCTTCAACATGCTGTCCTGTCAAATCCAAGGAGCTGGTCCGCCTTCCTTCACTTCATCCTGTCTCTGTCCCCTTCAAACTGGCAGTGCTTCTGCTTGTAGAATCCCATAAACTCTTTATGGAGTGATAGTCCCACCACACCCTTGGTGTTCTCTCCAGCACATGCTTTCTCATTTTTTGCAAGATGGATAGGCTGAGAATTTTCCAAATCTTCAAGTTCCAGCTCCTTTTGCTTAACAATTCCTTCTTCGATTCCTCTCTCTCTTCTCACACTTTTTACTATAAGCAGTCAGGAGAGGCCAAGCCACTCCTTAAACACTTTGCTTAGAAATCTCAGCTAAATATCCAATGTCATGGCCTACAAGTTCTACCTTCCACAGAACACTAGAACACAAACACAATTTGGCCAAATTCTTTGCTGCTTTATAACAAGGATCACATTTCCTGCAGTTTTCAATAAGCTGTTTCTTGTTTCCATCTGAGATCTCACCAGAATGGCCTTTAGTATCCATATTTCTATCAACATTCTGTTCTTGATTATTTATGCATTCCCTAAGAAGATAGAAGCTTTTTCTCCAGTTCTCCTCTTTTCTTTCTGAGCCCTCACCAGAATCATCTTTAACAGCCATATTTCTAGCATGCACCTCAAAACTACTCCAGCCTCTACCCATTACCCAGTTCTAAAGCTGCTTCCACACTTTTAGGTACTTATTACAGTAGCACTCCACTTCTAGGCGCCAAAATCTGTCTTAGGCAGCTTGGGCTGCCTTAACAAAACAACATGAACTGGGTGACTTAAACAATAGAAATTTATTTTCTCACACCTCTGGAGACTGGATGTCTGAGATCAGGGTGCCAGCATGGTTGGGTTCTGGTGAGGATTCTTTTCCTGGCTTATAGACAGCTGCCTTCTCTCTACGTTGTCACATGGTCTTTCCTTGGTGTGTGCGCACACAGAGAGAGAGAACTCTGTCTGTTCCTCTTCTTATAATGCCATCAATCTTATTGGATAAGGACTCTATCCTTATGACCTCATTTAACCTTAATTACCTCCTAAAAGCCCTGTCTCCAAATACAGTCATATTAGGGGTTAAACCTTCAACATATAAATTTGGGGAGGACACAGTTCAGTCCATCGGAACCCCCTCCCACTTTTTAGGCCTTGTCATTTCCCACAGGCGCCTCTGCCTACCAGTGTGCAGGAAAATTAACTGCCGTCCGGAGTGATCAACTTAGCCACTACTTACCAGATTCCGTGAAAGATTTTGTTGTTGTAGAAGAATCTTTAATGGTAATCTTTGAACTTTCCCCACTTGGTATTCGATTTAAGAGCCATTTGCTGAGTCCTTACTACATAATCAGTCCTATGCTATGTGTTGCAAGAGGTCTGTTTTAGTCAGTTCAGGCTGCCATAACAAAATACCATAGACTGGGTGGCTTAAGCAATAGAAACCTATTTTCTCACAGTTCTGTAGGCTGGAAGTTCAAGGTCAAGGTGCCAACAGGGTCAGTGTCTGGTGAGGGCCCTCTTTATGGATTGTAGATGGCTGCCTTCTTGCTGTGTCTTCACATGGTGGAGAGAGAGCTCTGGTGTCTCTTCCTCTTTTTATAAGGGCCCCACCCTTCTGACCTCATTTAACCTTTATCACCTCCTCAGAGGCCCTATCTCCAAATTCAGTCACATTGGGGGTTAGGGCTTCAACACATGAATTTGGAGGGGACACAAACATTCAGTCCATAACAAGGCTTAAAAAAATGTAGGTTGGTATCTGCTTTTAAGGAACTCAGAGTATATGGTGGAGGAATGTCAGGTGTCAGACAAGAAGCTTATGAAAAGGGCCAGCAGCGAGGTGCATACAGAGTGTGAGGGCTGAGGGGACAGAGCCACAGAGCCCAGCTTTCAGAGTGTGGGTGTGTAAGTGACATTGCCTCACTTTATCATGGAGCTCTGTAGTTTAAAAAGCACTTTTGCATCTATTTCCTCACAGCAACCGCATGAGGGTAGCTTGTTGCTATTTTAACCAGTTTACAGATGAGGAAACAGGTTCAGTGAGATGAAGTGACTTTTACAGGTCACAAAGTTAGAGTCACTTTACACGTTGCCTGTCTCAAGAGAGGATTCTTAAATTCTGGGTGAGATCTGTCCCCATGACCTATCACTTCCATGTGATAACTCAAAAACCTACACATTCTGTCTTGAACTCTCTTCCACACTGCCGACTGCATATTAAGCCATCTGCACGAAATAGAAATTCAGTTTCTGTAACAACCTCACACCTTTCACCGTTTGGACTGTAACATTTCTCTGTCTTCTGATGATCCTTTTCATCTGGATGATCAATCCCTCTCTGCCCGGAGGCTAGGGATCCAACTGCCTCAGACTCAGCAGCGGGGCTCATTAAAATACCCTTTCCGGTTTCTGGACATTACCCAGAAACTGACTCGTGAAATCCACATTTCAACTCTACTCCTGCCCTCAGGTGGGACTTCCGCCCATTTAATGTTGAGACCCTGTGCTTCAGGGAATGCCCTTTCACCTCTTGGCTAGTGAGGAGCTAGCAGAAGCCTGAAACCCACCGGATGGGTTCTCATCTGTGACTGCAGCCACCTGGGAAGAGCCTGAGGACCTGACCTCAGACACCTGGCCTGGGGACACATCACTGTGAAGAGTCAAGTCAAGAAGTAGAGTTCTGCATGATTCATTTTCCTGCACCTGTTAATATTCACACAGAAAGTGAGAACATTCCTGGTCACGTGTATTTTATGAGCTTAGGAATTACATTTCTACCTATGAACTAAAGGTGTAATGAATGATTTGTGTTTGACTTCTGAGAAAGGAGAAAGAGTCTGGGAAGCAGATCTGGCCTTCTTCTTCCACCTCCCCCTAACCCTGCTCCCCACACAGAGGAGTTGCTTGTACCCCAGGACTCGCCGCTACAAGACAGTCTCATTGCAGAGGGTCTTTTGTGTGTGTGTGTGAGGAAGATCAGCCCTGAGCTAACATCTGCCAATCCTCCTCTTTTTTGCTGAGGAAGACTGGCCCTGGGCTAACATCCATGCCC